TTAGAATATATATGAAATATGCGCTTAATTTATATTGGTAAAATAAATTATAAAGACACTTGAGTGGTGACAGTTTAATTTGTTAACGCTTGACATGTACTACAATATTACTTCACATTTGGATTGTTTAAAAATGTAATTGAACTTCAGAGGGCTCTGCAGCCGTCGTCCAATAAACTACATCAGAGACCTTCGGGTACAATAAAGGTGGCTTAGAAATGACGCTACCTTCTCACAATAAGTTGTTGTTGTTTTTTTTTAATGGGTGAAAATGACATGGTAACCCTGCCTGCGCTATCGGTATACACTAGCGGGGTATCAGTTAGAGGTGATAGGTGAGGATGAAAAGGCATGTCAGGTAGCCCATCGTGACGAATTCAATAATAAATTAGTCACGATAGTTTCCAAGGGAAACCGCGTGGAAGTCGACCTGATAGGGTAGATTGATAGTAATGGGGACTAACCTCTCCATTACTAACAATTCCTTCCCCCCAGTTGTTGTTGTTGTATCAGCCATTAATGTCCACTGTTGAACATAACCTCCCCATAAGGGTTTATTTTGCGAGTAGTTGCCACGATTAGCAGACGGGTTGGCAATCGCAGTTAGACTTTAGAGATGTTTAAGAAAGACGCTATTGCCCATCTCTCCACCATAAGCCCCCTTATTCGCCTCTTACGACACCCACGGGAAAGGAAAAGGTGGCCTATTCTATACCGGAAGCTACACGGCTCACGCGATACGTACGCAATTGTTTAAGTGTTCTCACTTACAATTTAATTGTTCAACAAATTGTGTGATAAATAATAAAGATTAATTATTACACAATTTGTTGAACAATAATGCCCTTACTAAGATAATAAGGTCACTGAAGACTTTAATGTGGAGCTAAAGCTTTAAGTTTATCGGGTTACTAGCGGCCCTGTATTGAATATTATAGAATAGTTAAAACAAACACAAATCTGAGGTCCGTGAGGGTAGTGTTGACGTACAAAGCGGATTAAATTAACTGCCTTAATTGAATTTAGGTTCCTTGTTAGCCAATGTGTCCCCACAGGGTTTGCTGGGTGGCGTTATGCAACCCGCCGCACACCACCGCGTCGAACCGCTGTAATTAAAGCTGGAATCAAATATTCAATGTAAAATATATTTACGTGCTTATCTCTTGCCACCGATCAATAATTCTTTATATTACATTTATTTATTTATTACATTACATCCACTGGGTGAGCTTTAGTCTTCCAATACGCTCACTCAGGAAATCACATATACAGTACAATAACATATATAAAAAAGGAATAATATTCATAAATAAATTTAATTTCTAAATTTCTGCACACAAACACCTTGTGGTCATTCGACGAAACTCCCGCAAGTTGGAGGCAAATACATCCAATTGCGGATACCGGTTCAAAATATCATTGAATAGTTTCAATGCAAGAGAGAGGGGAGCTTGCTTAGCCAACTCTGTTCTTAATGGAAAATCAAATAATTGCCGTCTACGTGCTCGCACGTAGTTATTGGGCGCTCCTATTGATATTGATACCAGTACGGTTATATATTATAAGTATCTACATAGATTCTTAATCTTAATAATATTATAAACATGAAAGAGATTTCGTTCATTTGTTATCTCTTGTCGTTTGAATGGCTTTACCAATCATTATGAAATTTAATACAAATATGTTGTAAACAGACGTAATCTTTTAATACTGAGCATAATCGTCATGGAATTTAATATACTCATATTATTTAAGGTAGAGAAGTACATATAGGATTATTATTATATCAACTGTTAACTGTCCACTGCTGGACATAGGCCTCCCCCATAAGAGAGGTGGCACCAATAGTTGCCACGCTTAGCAGGCGGGTTAGTAACCGCAATTAGATTTTAATGATTCATGAGAGACGTTTCTACCTATCGCTCGACTATTAAATTCTCTTAATCGCCTCTTACGACACCTACGGGACAAAGGGACAGGGAGAAAGGGCACCATTCTCACAGAATGGGCCACCATTCTGTGCCGGGACCACACAGCAAACATACAGGGTACTAATTTTTATTTCAGTCAAGCAATGAATTCCCGTTACGCAGGTAAAGGCACAGGTAAAAACTAGTCTATTTCTGTATGCTGTCATTAAAGATCAAATTAAATATGGAATAAAAAATACATACACACACCTCAAAATTTTTAACGATACTGCGTAATATATACAAAAAATACAAATTAAGATAACTCTTTGACTCTTTTTTGTATTTACCAAAAATGAAACTATGAAATTGGGTATAGTAATGCGTTAGCTACCAAATTATTGTTATTCGACAGAGGAGCTCGTTTCATATTGTGTTGTTATTAAATTTTGGATTGTGTCCCATGTCGCTTTTGTCATACGCTATCAAATGTAATGGCGCCCGCCTTAGTTAAATAACTGTATAGAGCGCCATTTATCTACAAGCAACCGTCGTATACTCTTATTATTATATTTTATACCTCTTCAAAACAGTAAGTATTTAACATATTTTGAAAAAAATACTTGAAAACAGTGTTTGATCTTTAAGACCCAAATTAGGCCTCAAAACTTAACTTACACTATTAATATGTAGGTGCCCGTAAAAGATGAAACCAACTAATTTGATCAACGAACAATTGAAATTATTGGATGTAAAAACATGTAATTTTTTCAAGAATCCCTTATAATATAACGTCAGTAGCACTACGAAGGCACTTTCCATAATATCACGGATACGTGAGTAAAATTTGACGCGAGAACTTTAGCGAAATGAGAATTTTAGCGAGAACAATTTTATGAAAAAAAAAAAACAGTATTACAAAAAAAATTGTTACATAAGTCTCGTACATACAAGCTATGTGTGAAAATTAAATAATTAAAATTAATTATTCTGTTGAGTTCTACTATCTCTCCCTTTACTTTCAATCGATATGGTTTATTTCCGTATTAGTATTATTACAATTGAAAACGCCTTTATTTTTATAGAGGAACAAATGATTATCTTGACAATTCAGATATAACGCATAGGAATCTACAATTGGACATAAATTTTGTTTGTTGCGTCGATGCTATTTAAGTTTGGAATCTTTCACACTTCATATCTTGGCTCGGTTATATTTCTTTGCACTGAATTAATACCCCTACATGCGACGAACGAATTAAAAACATGCCTACGAAACTCTATTAATATGTTTCACACGAACTTAGGAGTTTTTTTTCTATTTATCATCACCGAACGGGATACAATTTATTTTAACTTATACATAAATAAACTTATTTCATAATTATCTATTGCATTTACAAAGGTTTTATTAAAAAGAAGTGTCTCTTTAAATTGAACTCTCCGCAGGTTTTCTTTTAAACTAAATTCCGCGGCTTTGCCGTGTGAATTGAGACAAAAAAATAGATTGACTAGTCTAACTCTGTACCAAATTACAATAATAGCATATCAACTGTTTAATTGTGATTAAATAACAAACATCCAAATATTAATCTGTGCAAATTAAAGTACCTAATATGGTTTATCCTGTAGTAATAGGGGCCATTCCTTTCCCGTGAGTGTCGTAAGAGGCGACTAAGAGAAAGTAATGGTTAAGGGATAGGCAACAGCGTCCCTCTTAAAACATTGTCAAAACCTGACTGCGGTTGCCAATCCGCCTGCCAAGCGTGGTAATTACTGGCAAAAATAAATATGAAAAAAAATAGGAGGCCTATGTTTAGTAGTTAATACAGTTAACGGTTAATATGATGATTATGAATAGGAAAACAAAAGTATATAATGATTTATTTATAGGCACAATATTTTTAATAATATCTATGTGGTGCGCTAGTGTGCGTCGCCAGCCAATGTAGCCCAATAACTGAGCGTGTAATATACCGCCAATGCGACGCGATCGTTGTCATTTTCACAAATTATGTGAACGCTACACGCCTGCCAATGTTTATCTGTGCTTGTGAAAGCACTAAATTACGTTTGTGCTACGCACATATTACTGCCACTATTCTATCTGCTTTGACAAACGGTTTTTCGTTGTGCCAGACTAGAGTGCTTTATATTTTTGCATTCAGCCGTTTTAAAATGTTTTTATCAGAAATAATAAGCAAAGTCACATATGCAATCAAATATCTAATCGATTATTGTAGTTATAAGAAGTAATTGTCAACTTGCCCACATTCCGCCAATTCGTCGTGTCAGGAAGACAAATTTATCGGCTTCCAACGGATCTTCCACTGGTTATTTTAGTAATAAAGATATACCATAGGAGCATTTATTATCACATTAAAGTTCCATTAAATATTGCCTAATAAGAACTTATTCTATCCCGATTGACGATTATGAACGCCGGTACTGTCTTTGTAGTGGATATTTTGATGTTGATCATGATGTAAGTATCTAAATTTTAAACATTAGAATCCATGGATCCCTATATATGGAATTGTGAGATTTAAGCTTTCGTTTGTGTCATATTATGATGACATACACAATCCTGGATTAACCATTTTTTATTAATTGTCTATATTTCCATTACGAAGCCTAGCGCGGCCCAGGTTCCTCGCGATGCGTGACAAATCAGTTAATAATAAGTCAAATCAGTTTTAAATTCAGACCCGGTTTTAGTATTAGAAAGTTTTGTTTTTGTTTAGTTTTGTTTCTTTAATGCACGAATATTAGCTAGACATTTTACATCATCTAATCATTTCATTAAGATTTTTATTTTTTCTTATAAAAAAGTTCTAGTTAAGCCGGCAAAGTTGTTTGCCCCCTACCGTTACCTACAGTATCCATTGTTTCTTATCAATATAAAAATATCTCCCTCTCAAATTGAAGTACACAATACACATTTACAAAATCACATTATATCTGTACAATAATCGATTGAAAATTTTCATAAATCGGCATAAACGAAATTTGTGACATAGTATTTTATGTATTATTAGGATATTATATACAAATATAAAAATACATTAACGTATTGGAATTGTTTCACAGAAATACCACGAATACAACGTAGAGGTGGTACGCAAAGACGGACTATTGTTGGTGCGCGAGCTCGCCGCAGAGGTCAAAAACCACATGGACTTCAAAATAAACGCCGTCATGGTAAGTACACCACTATCCAATAACTTTGTTATACCCACACTGGCATGCTTGAATTTAGCATTGGCATTATTTTGAATTTAGAACTTTTGTTTCTCTATGACCTAAACCCTTCTGTAATTATGTAAATAGAAAAATAAGATATTCAGAAATTTTAAAAATTAAATTTAAATAAAAAACAAATATATAATATGCATATTTTATACTGATTTGGATTATATTTCTATTTAATCAATAGGGTTTAATCCTGTGTTAGTGTCATACAGTGAAATGAGTACCCTGCCGAGGTTTTCCCAAGAGCCTACAGCATGGGGTTCTTCAAAAGGGGGGTAAAGAGGTTTCTTCAGGATCGGCAACGCACGCGTAATACCTCTGGTATTGCAGGTGTTTATAGGCTACGGTAACCACTTACCATCAGGTGTGCCGTATGCTTGTTTGCCACCTCAGTCGTATAAAAAAATACAAATTTTGTCTAATTTGAAGCGAAAGTGTTTTGTCACTCTCTTTAAAATCAAGAATTTAGCCAGTCATTCATATCTAGAATACAAATCCAAAGAGGTAATGCTGCCAGTATCTTGGGTACGCTGCCTCGGTGTGGTGTGTTGAGAGACTATTTGTAATTAGTAATAGTCTTTAAGAAGTTGTTTAGTAACCTAATTTTAAGTTTAATAAATAAATATCAAGAATACAATGAAAATAATGTAATATATACAGTGAGTGTAAAAAGTATTCGTACACCTAGGGTTATAATAAAAAAAATACGAATTTGATAGACTTTCCTCTATTTATTTAACTTAAATCAATACTGTTAAATAGTTTAACATTCCCGCACTTTGTTTATGATAATTATTGTTTTTTTAAAAAAAAATTATACAACATAAAAATATTTTTATGTTAACTAAGCAAATAATGACAAACAAAAAGTATTCGTACATTCATGCTTTTTTAAATGAAATTCTGTATAAATCATTTATTCAATCGAATTTTTCATATGCCTACAATGCCAAGGTCATTTTTAATACGTAGGTATAGATATTAGACGTTTTAGTTGCACTCGTGACAAGTATAGACGTGTTTAGTTACAAAAATGGGTTGTAAAGCAAAAGAAACGAGTGAAGAGGAGAGAAAAATAATTATTAATTTGCATAATCAATGCAAATCATTATGTGAAATTGCAAAATTTGTCAATAGACCACGTTCAACCGTACAGACTGTAATTGATCGGTTTTCTATTACTAAAACACTAAAAAACAAACCCAGAGGTGGAGCGTCCATCAAAAGTCACGCCTCGATTGGATCGGAAAATTTTAAATTGTGTAAAAAAAAATCCAAAAATTAGTGCCCCTCGAGTGTTACAAGAAATTAATAATATCAATGATTGCCATATTTCTGTCAGTACCGTTCGGAACGTATTACGTAGTAACGATTATCATGGAAGAACTGCGCGTAAAAAGTATTGATATTAATAGAAAAAAAGATTAGAATTCGCAAAAAAATATATTAATGAAAAAATCATTTTTGGCAAACTGTTATTTACTCAGATGAATCGAAATATAATATTTTCAAATCGGATGGGCATCATATGGTATGGAGAAAACCTAATATGGAATATAAGAAAGAAAATTTATGTCCAACGGTAAAACACGGTGGTGGGTCAGTATTTGTATGGGGTTGCATGAGTGTTTTTGGGGTGGGAAAACTTGCATTTATTGATGGAATTAGGGATCACAAAGCGTATATTAATATTTTAAAAGAGAATCGTCTCTCTAGTGCAGCTCAAATGGGTTTTAACAATAATTGGATATTTTTACAAGATAATGACCCTAAATATAAAGCATGGAGTACTAAAGCATGGATCCTGTTTAACGCTTTAAAATACCTAGAGATTCCTCCTCAATCACCTGATATTAATATTATAGAGCATGTGTGGGATTATCTCGATAATAAAATTCGAAATCGACCAATTTCGAGTAAAGAAACACTAAAAATTGCGCTTCGCGAAGAATGGGCATTAATACCGTCTTCTTATATTTTCAAACTAGTTGATTCGATGCCGCAGAGACTCCAAGCTATCATCAATGCTAACGGTGGTCCAACAAAGTATTAATATTTTTTTAATATTCATTTACTTACAAATTTTATAAGTGTACGAATACTTTTTGTTTGTCATTATTTGCTTGGTTAACGTAAAAATATTTTTATGTTGTATAATTTTTTTTATTAAAAAACAAAAATTATCATAAACAAAGTGCGGGAATGTTAAAATATTTAATAGTATTGATTTAAATTAGATAAATAAAAGAAAGTCTATCAAATTCGTATTTTTTTTATTACAACCTTAGGTGTACGAATACTTTCTACACTCACTGTACATAATAGTTAAAGTTTATTAAATATTATTTTAAATGGTAGCTAGTAAACTATTATAGTAATTATAGTAATGAAAGTTAGCATTGCGTAGCATGATACATTTCAGTTAGTTACAAACTAAAAGGTGTACTAAAATTCTCAACACTAGGTTTCAAACCTAGATATAAAATTATTAAATTCGTTTCAGCGGTTACAAAGTTGTGAGAACTGGTAGTTCGTAACTAGAGGCGGCAACAAATATCGTGGTCTCTGCGGACCTCGGAGCCTAACATATATATCTATATATGAGAACATAAAAACGATCTGTACTATAAAATTTAAGAATTTTTTTGAGCAAGTTGTCATCTTAATTTGTTTATTTGTCTGGTAAGCATACTTATTTCTTCAGATATCTAAAAATTTTATAACGTGTTTTGCGTATACATGTTGGCAGTATTTATATATTTTTATGTATTTGTGTAGGTGTTTATATGCACCTATGTATGTATGTATATGTATGTGTATATATATATATTATATATAATAGTATATAAGTGTATATAATGAGTAGGGATACATATTTGCATTATTACATGTATCACATCTCCATATTTAGAAATAATAGAATTTCATCGTGTCTCCGATCAAACTGTTTATAATTACTCCTCTCCATCCAAAGGTTGCCTGGAAGAGATCGCTTTTAGCGATAAGGTCGCCCATTGTTTTCTCATTGTGATTATTTCTTGTAATTGTTTATATTTATAACAAGTTTACTATTGTAATCTTTTAGAGGAAACATTAAAGAGTATCTATCTATCTATCTACTATTCGGATACTACTTTTAATCCCGTCCGTATAACAAAATACGCATAACAATATGAACACCACACACGCCGTATAAAACGCGTCCCATGGGAATATTTAATATCATCATCATATAAGCCGTTAACTGTCCACTGCTGAACATAGACTTCCCACTTGGAAGATTTTGCTAGTAGTTGCCACGCTTGGCAAGCGGGTTGGCAACCGCAGTTAGGCTTTTAGAGATGTTTTAAGAGGGACGTTACTTCCCATACCTCGCCCTCCCTTAGTCGCCTCTTACGCCATCCATGGGAAAGAAAGGGGTGGTAATATATATAAGGGCTCTATAATCTAAGACTATCTTATATGCAACAAATGCAGGTTCGATCCCCGTACAGTATTTCTGCAGACGAGGTTTTAATAAGCGGTTTGCGTATTTGATTTGGCATCATATCAGCCGTTAAAAGAGCTGAACGTAGGCCTCTATAGACTACCATAACGAACCCGAGCTACCTTCTACCTTCTGATTTCCTGACACTTGCAATTTGAGGTCGTCGCTCCATGTAGTGGGAGTCGTCCCAAGATACGTTTACATATACGGGATCGCCACTCAAGAACCTTTCTTCCGAATATGTATTTATCTAAATATGTCTACCAGTTATTTGGTACTCATAGTGCAAGCTTTGTTTAGTTTTAAACTAGATGGCGGTGTGTGATATTATTTTTTTAACATCATACAAACGGTATATCGAACGGGAACTGTTTAGATTCTATTTAAGAGGAGCCGTAAAATATCCTGTCTAATGGTCAGCATTTGATAAGCCGTCCTTTTGTATACTGTCGTGTTTCATTAAGTGCTTCTATTGTTCCTTTGGAGCCGAAGGCTATATTGTTGTAACAAAAAACAAAAACATTCCCTCATCTCGGCGTCCTCGGCGTAGTCCCATTGAAAAAGTCAAGTCGAGATCGTAAGCAATCTTTGTCTTAGAGACGATACAAATCACTTACAAAGAGACGCGTTGCGAGAAAATCTTTTTACAATGTTACAATAGTTTACAAGCTACAATTCCAGAGACTTGTTGTCTCAGAAAACACAATGATGCATTTAGTTCACTCACATTTTTGCGAGATATCGCTATTGCAAAAGGAAAAACGTTTTGTTCGTATTTTATTAAAGTAAATTCAACAAGAGCACACAAAGGCTGATTATAATTGAATTTCGCATCAGTGGCCCCGAATGGGAAGTATTGAGTTAGGATTGAATTTCACCCCGAATGTTTGCACTTTTACATAATTATTTCTTCAACTCTCATGTTTTTCTGAGTATAGAAGGTATATTGATTTTACCCAATTTTCAAGGAAAGGAAAATAATGTTTTGGCTATATGTACGCATATCGAAAATCTTTGGCGTAATGTTTTTATAAGTGGATGTCGTTTGTTTTTATATGGGGGTGCTGATTGTTATTTAAATATAGTACAAAATAAACACGATTACAGAGAATATAAACTAGTTTTTCGAATAAAAAATATATAAATAGTCCTGTATGATCCCGGCATAGAATAGGCCGTGTATTCCTTTCCCGTGTATGTCGTAATAGGCGACTAAGAGAGGGCGAGAGATGGGTATCATTCCTCTTAAAAGACCTTCAAAGCTTAACTGTGGTTGCCAGTCCGTGGCAACTACTGGTAAAACCCCCAAGGGGGAGGCTTATATTCAGCAGTAGACAGTTAAAAGCTGATTTGATGATATAAATAGTTATTTTTGAAATAACAATAAAAGATATTGTATAATAATATATAATTATATAAACCAATGATTATCGATTTTCGAATTTTCAAACTACTGACTATT